TGAAGAAATTCAACCAAGCGCGGGTAAACGGCGGGAGTAACTATGACTCTCTCAATCATTGTAATCACCGTAATCACTGTGCGTTGCCTTCTCGTGGCACCTCCTGTTAATTGGTAAGGATCAACTTGTTGGCCTTGCTGGCGCGAGTCGTTCCTAGACTAAAACACCTCCCACTGTCTCCCCGGTGGTAAAAGGCGGAATCTGTTAACCATTTACGCCTATACTAATGATGAACTTTCCTCTGTATCCGCAGGTGTTCTTGCAACCGCTAAATATCGTTGTTCTCTGTGCGCTCATGCCTGCCGATCGGCTGTTGGACTGAAGCTCCATATACGTGCATGTGCAAAGCGACGTCTCGTGACGCCGTCACTACCAGAATCAGAGGCCCAACGCACAGCCTCACATGTCCCTGCCCCATCTGAACAACAGCCTATAGCCTCGTCATCTTCTGCTGTATTCTGCTCTGAGTGCAATCGTCCTTTCACTTCCAAACGTGGACTCTCCCAGCATATGAAGAGTGCCCACTCCACGCTATATTTTGCAGAGAGACAGCGACTTGTGCCATCTCGTACAACCTGGACCACCCAAGAGGATAGGCTGCTACGGAAGTTTGCCATTGCGATTATTCAAAAGGAAGGTCAACTTGCCCTCCGACCACTTGCTCGTGGGGTGAAGAAACACTTTCCCACACGCAGTGCTGAGGCCCTCTGCAAGAGGCTCTCCAAGTTAAATAACAAGGTGTTGATCTACGGTACGCTTGGTTTCGAAACCGCTGTGAATCCTCCTCTAGTCGTGTCTTCTTCCCCACCTCCCATGACCGAAGCGGATCAGTCTCAGGCCTGTCGGTTGTCTCTCCTGCATTCTGCCGCACACCTCTTAGCAGAATCTCGCAACGAGGCCCTGTGTACTGAGACGCTACTCTCTCTGGTGACTGACCTGCTCATGGATGACGCCCAATGGACTGAAGCTGCTGCTACACGTCTTGATTCCCATGCCTTACATGTTTTTCCTCCAAAATGGAAACCAGAGGTTCATACAGATCCACAGCGTGACGAGGTGCAAGCCCAGCTTGAAAAGAACTACAAGGCAGGAGCCCAGCTCATTCTCTCCGGAGATTGGCGCCAAGTTCCTTTCCCTGAAGCTCCACTGCCTCCTGGCACCCTCGAATTTTGGCGGGAGCTCACTGAGCGTCCCAGTGGCCAGGACCAAAGGCCCGTGATTCCTCCAGCTGCTGTTGCTTGGTCTCTGCTTGATCCTCTTGAGCCATCTGAAGTTACCCAACACCTCCGCCTCATGGTTAGATCTGCAGCGGGGATGGATGGGCACTCTGCAAAAGATCTATTGCGCTGGCCTCCCACTGCTATAGCAGGCTATCTAAACCTCATTCTTGCCACTGGCTATCTGCCTTTACAGCACTGCACCTGCCGGACAACTTTGGTCCCTAACGTTCGACTTCCAACCCTTCCATCCCAGTTTCACCCAACTGCTGTGTCCAATGCTATACCTTGCCTCCTCAATCGTATTCTCGCCTCCCGATGGTCGCGCTTCTGTCCCACCAGTCGTTTCCAGTTTGGTTTCCAGAAACGGGATGGAACGGCGGAAGCAACTGTCCTGCTACACGGAATATTACGGCAAGCAGTTACTGCTCCCAAATCACTTGCTGTGGCTGTCCTCGAGATGGACAAAGCATTCGATTCCGTGAATCATAGCACGCTTCTACGCGCCGCAGCTGCTCATGGGGCGCCACCATCACTTATTCATCTACTCTCTTCCTCTTATTCCCGCTCTTCAACTTTCATTCTGGACGCAGAAGTGAGATGTTTTCGCGGGGTGCGCCAAGATGACTCCCTCTCTCCCCTTCTCTTTTCTGGTGCTCTATCTGAAGCTCTCTCCTACTCTGACCGACAGTTGGGTTTTGAGATTGGTGAGACCACTGTGGACTGTCTGGCATACGCTGATGATTTGGTCCTCTTTGCTGAATCACCAGATCGACTACAGGTACGACTTGATGGTTTGGTTGAAGGCCTCTCACTTGCTGGCATGCAGTTAAACCCATCGAGGTGCACCACCTTCTTCCTCCAAGCCTTAGGGAAGGATAAGAGCTCCTGTCTCCGACTCTGCAATGTCCTTTTAGGCGGAACAGTGCTGCCTTCGCTTGGGCCCCAGGATACCTTCAAGTACCTGGGTGTCCCCTTCTCATACCGCGGGAAGCAGCCTATCCGTCATCGGCCGGTACTTCATGACATGATGGCTGAAGTATCTGAAGCTCCGATCAATCATCAACAGCGATTTTCCTTGCTGAAACGCTCCTGTGTTCCCAAGTTGTTGCATGAACTGGTCCTCGGAACTGTTCATCGCAACACACTGGAGAACCTTGATATGCAGATCCGGCAGACGGTGCGGAGTGCGCTTAAACTGCCGACCGACACACCGACCTCCTTCCTGTATGCGAAAATTCGGGATGGGGGCCTTGGTGTCCCATGCCTGAAAACCCTCGTCCCTCTTGCGAAACGCCGACGCCTGGACAATGTTCTCAGGTCAAAAGAGCCTGTGGTTAGAGCAGTCGCTGTCATTCCTTCAGCCTTGTCTAGCATGCGGCTCGCCGCTGAGCCAGTGCGAATGGGCTGCAAGGTTCTGGCCTCGAAAAAAGACGCTCGAACATATTGGAGAGACTCTCTCTACAACTCCGCGGATGGTCATGCCCTAGCTCACTTCGCCAACTCTACCTGTGCGAATCACTGGCTCTCCTCCCCTGATCGAGTGCTACCCTGGCTGTTTATACGAGGCATCCAACTTCGGGCGGGTGTGCTCTCAACCAAAGCTCGCGGGAACCGTAGGACAGGTTCTGGAGATGTGTTGTGTCGAGGTCAATGTGGCCAGCGTGAGACCCTCATCCACATTCTCCAGTGTTGTCGGGTGACACAAACTGCGAGATTGGGGCGTCACAACAATGTTATGAATCTCCTTAGGGAACGTTTGGCTAAAATCCACCCGAGTGTCCTACTGGAACCACGCATCCCTGAGGGCAGCAAATTCTGCAAACCTGATATCATTCTCCTGAATGAGAGCAGTGCTACGGTGATAGATGTCGCGGTTGCCGGCGAAGACTGCATGGAAAAGCGGTACACAGGGAAGATCGAACGTTACTCAGCGGCGGAAATCGAAGCGAATATTCGCCAGACCTTCGCGAAACCGTCCGACTTCCCGATCACCCATATGCCAGCGGTCTTCTCTGCACGTGGCACTGTCTACGCGCGTACTGAACGAGGGCTTCGGACACTGGGACTCTCCAAGTTCGATATCTCGGATCTAGCTCTGGAGGCGATCCGCGGATCTGTAACGGCGTATGACATATTTACACGCGGAGCTGGTGGAGGGCGTATCAGCTGACGCATATGACCCACGGCCGATTTATGACGCTAGAGATCCACTTGGCGGCCCCTTAGTTTTCCGGCTGTGAGCAGTATGGCGGCTAAGAACCATTCGTCTATGACGGCCTCTTGTTGATGTGTCAGTCACGGAGGGGCGGAAGTCTTGTCCACGTGGCAATATGCCCATCCTTTCTGATCTTCTTAACTCTTCCTTCCCCATTGATAGTGACACCCAGCTCCCTCGACAGTGCATAGAATGTATCTATTGTAATAGTAACAGACTGCAGATTGCATTGCCTGCCCTTTGAATGATACATTCTCCCCAGATTGTACATAGACTGAGTCCCTACAACCAATTTTCTTCTATTTTTCTTCCACGTGTTCTCGCCTGTGTTTCACAGTGCCTAATATCCTTTTCCGGGGCATGACCTGTCCAAACCGTAATTTACAGTGGGCATAATAAATACTATATAGGCAAATGCCTCTTCATTTAATTAGTGACGCACATAAATATATTAACGAGATTCCTACTGTCTATGCGATTACCGCGAACACTGCTCCTATACTAGCAACGAAGGGGCTAAACCTACGGATTTTCACTATTTAATCACTCCACAGTGTTAATTGAACCAGAACGATACCGGTCAATATCGGTGGTGTCAGTTGTTCTACTAAAGGTGTCGGCTAAAGTCATCCGCAGTGGGGGCAGTCATCCAAATATGCTGGCTGCACCAATACAAGACGGGTCAGGTAAACAGCGGGAATAACTATGATTTTCATGCATCGATATCCACTACACCAATATAGGCCGGATCGGGTAAGTCCCGGGTGTACTCGATTTTCACGTAAAGATTTTAACTTTAAATCTTTCGGCACTTATGAAGATGCTCCTACGTTAGTTTCGAGGGTACGAGGTTTCCTATTTTTGCCAATGTTCATTGCACCAGTACCGGGCAGGGCCCACAATGTTGACTGCACCAGTACGAGAGAGCGTGGTATAAATAGTTGCTATTTTATTTGCGTCGTGATTTATAGGTGCTCGTGGTTGTTTTGGTAGTATCGGTGGTTGTGATGGTGTCTCTGTCTGTGGTGGTGCCGGTGGTTAAATTCGTATATATTATTATATAACTACATATTACTACATTTATATTATAGTTAATAATAATTGATTAGCAATAATAATGTTCACTGATCCGAGCAGGGTTTACCACTCCAATAGGAAGCAAGACACATGCAAGAACTTAAGCTAACGGGCATACTAATGGACTTCGAAAAGCAGTTTTAAAGAATTACGTAGTCAACGGATTACAACGCTTTATTTCCGATGCTCTGTTAACTATCTGCGACAAAAGATTTATCGATACGTGCTTACCATTCTACACAATGTGTCTTTGGAGGAATCTATTTATTTGGTAAATGCTGACAAAGGTGTGTAGCTTGGCATACTCCCCATACTCCATACGCTTTCGTATTCAAAGACATGGATCCGAGTCTGATTAGAATGCATTGATGAACTAGTTTTACAGCAGTGCATGTTCCATTCACTAGCAAACGGCCTTGATTATCAAAAACGGTTTTTCAGCAGCCAGCCAAGGTATGCTTTCATATAATTAAGTCAATATTTCGTGCCTTTTATAATTACACTAAGGTTGATCAGCAACATTCATGAAAAACACTTACCATTCCTTGCTGATGATAAAACAAAGCTGCGGTGACGAAACTGTGATTGAGGTTCGGGGAAATTCAGTGGTTTTTGCATACGTATGACAACTATTTGCTAACAGCTGTCCGAATTTATGCGTCAGGGGTAGTGAGCATGTTATTAAAAAACACTGTCACGCAAGGACTCAAAAGACGACTATGTGTTCGACTTTTGTCGTTTCCGACTGGTTTCTGGGACCCTTATGATAACTCTTGAGTGTACTGACCCGCTGTATCATGTGTACGTAAAACAAACTGTCAGTAAGTCAAGAGGAATATACTCATGGGTAAATCATCAAGTTGCCTTGTATGATCTGGCTTACGTAGCCTGAGCTGAATTCAGTTTGTCAGTGCTAAAAATTGTGGGTAATTCTACACTTCACATTATTTTCAGCGGACAGAAAATGCATGTTGCCCAGCAATGTCAAGATTATGCCATTGACAAAATGCAGAATGCATGTTTTCAGGTGGGGATGATTTATGGTGTCGGATAAGGTTCTTTGTCTCCTTCGTTGCTTCTGTCTGATTGATGACCTTCTCCACAGCTGCAACCATTTTGGCATGTTTAGCATGAATGAGGCTTTGTGCTGCAGAACCCGTATTTGCTCCTTCGTCAGCTCTTTCGACGATTGGATTGGATTGTGCAGGTTGCGGACTTTATTCTCCACTGCCGCTTCTTCTTCTTCTTCTTCTTCTTCTTCTTCTTCTTCT